GTGCAAACTAGCGAAGTATACTATTTCACTAGTTCTAGCTAGTTCACTTGACACTGTTTAAACCATTTGGGTACTGATGCAAATGCCGTGGCATCATCTCCTTCGGCCGTTATATGTTAGCGGATTCAGTGCAAGCACCAGAGGAGCCCTATTGCGTTGCGATGCCCGTGTTGGAAGCAAAACATGCATCGGCCGGGAATCGAACCCGGGCCGCCCGCGTGGCAGGCGAGCATTCTACCACTGAACCACCGATGCCTGAAACTGCAGCAGTTGCAACCAGTGACCATTCGGAGACGGCAATCGTATTAAAAAGTATTACTATCGCTGAATAAAGGGTGTCGCTTCAATCTCTGCAGTGACTCTTAACAGTGGGCTGTTGTTCATATCACCAAGAGTTTCCTTCAAGGTGTTTTGAGTGTTTAGGTTTTCAATCGGAGTCCCTCAAGCAAAGGCATTTTCTCGACCTTGTGCAAATATTTCGTGTAAGGGGGAAAAACTTCGAAAAGTCAAAACCACGCGAGCTCTAATAGTCCACCGGAATTTTTTTCAGTTACACGTTTTTTTGGAATTTTTTCCGTAACCTAACCATCGTGGCTAAGAATATTCGAAAAAATAAAAGAATTGACTGAAGGTAAAGCCTCACCGAAGACGTATCCGTTAGGGCATCGCAAATCCACCCATTTCCCATGACGACACTCAATCACACGACGGTCACATGGTGACGAATTCTTGTCCACGATTTTCTGGCATGAATATTAGCACACTTTTCTGCTACGAATTTGCCACAAATAGCTAAGGATTCAGGAATTTTTTTGTCTTCACCTCTCCGTGTCGACATTGCACTTCGGCGTAGGACGCGCATTGCCATGGTTTCCCACTACGACACTTTTTTGATGAAGCGTCGAAAACCTGCCCTGGGCCTTCACATCTGAAAACTCGAAATCCGTCTAAATTTGGCTTCAGTCTCTAGCATGTCACAGAAGAATACCTCTATTGTAAATCCAGTTGGATCCATCGCAAGCGTAAATAACGACGGCCGTCACAAGTCGTGAAGGATGAGGTAAGTCGAATCATGCCCATAATGAAACACTGACCAGGAAAAGTGAGCTGGTCCACTTGGTACGTATATCGGTCGCGAGAAGCCAAAGTGGGTGCACAAGCGCACTGGAAACAAGTACGCCCGAAAATACGGCTACCCTTCTTCGAAGGTAAGTACGATACCTGTCCCTGTTCAAACAGTTATTTTTCCAAGTTAGTATCAGCGTCGGAAGCGACTACCTCCACCCGCCCCATCCGAAAAAAACAGTCTTTTTTGCTCACCAAACCTCCCAGTCGTGATAGAGAACTAGCGAATTCAACCTTGGAACCTGGCTTCCAACCAAAGATAAGAATTATTTAATGTGATCCCACCTGGGTACCCGGATGCCCTTTCTACCTGAAAACCCGTCCGACTTGACGCACTCGAAAGTACTGAGTCCGGCCCCCAGCAATGTATCGTTCATTTACTGGCCCCCAGAAGGAGAAAGCAGCAAGGTCAGTTGCCGACGACGCCCTAAATAAAACCTTCCTTTCTATGAATCAGAAGAAAGGATTCGGGCGAGAGACTACAACATACAAAGCAGCAGAAAAGAGCAAGCATGCAGCGAAGACGAAGCAACCGCTTGCCCGCTTCCCAAAGAATTGCCTACCTCCCTCAGCCCACATTCCGGGCTCGAATTTTGAGCAAGGTTGTTCAGTACGTAATTCCGCATACCTCTCCATCTTCGAATGGAACGTCAATTAAAAGGCCACTTCCCTGCGATAAAATTAAGGCTTTACGAACCTCTCAAATTTTGGTCAAGACGATTCCGGAAGAACAAATTCTGGGAGGCTGTTGTTTTACCTTCAAAAAGTGAAAAAACTGGCAGAAGCAACTTTTGCTGGAAGGTTGTCCAATTAGGCACCATGACCCTTAGGACATGCCGTCCCCCCCACTGGGCTGCTAGCTATTAGCTATTTATCCAACTATACATCTCTCCTCATTCCAAGTAAGTGGAGAGTTGAGTGTGAATAAGAAAAAGAGTTTTATATAATTGTCATGGAATAACGACGAGTGGAAAAATTCGTACAAACATGCGTTTTCTTCATTGCATGCATGTACAAGTTGGGGTCGATATGGAGTCCTATTTAGGGCATTCTCGGCTGTTTTTCCGCTGCTTTTCTCCGCTAATCAGTTACCTAGCACTTTGTCCTTCGTACTAGAGCTTCGCTACCCGCAATCTGTGGTCGAGGGCTTTGCATTCAAAAGTAGTGGCTGCTTGTGCCTTCCAATGAGTTTCAAAGTCAGGTGTTTAGGCGTTAGAAATTCACATTTAAGGCACGTTACTGTTCGGGTTTTACTCACAGTCACAGCTATTTTTAGGGCGTCTCTGGCCGGCAGTGGCTCTCGAGTTTTATCAGGAGAGTTCAATAGATAGTGCTCATTCGCTCACTCGAGTCTCGTACCAGCGCATAAACGTACTGGTTCGTTCGGACTTGATTGTCTCCTCAACCCTGACAAGTAGATGAGAACCCTTGTGGGTTCTCAACGCATATTACCGATATTACCATTAACCGTGCACAAAACTATGGACTTCCTGCCATGGCAACTCAGCAACTCATCCAATAATTTGGTACATACTAATCCTCATGCCCGGTGGTCCACGCATTGTTATTGTGCCAACCTGATTTGACATACCTGGAATGCTAGCAGAAATGTTTCCACAATTCGCAGCAACGTATTTTCCGTTGTAGCATACTTGATACGTGATACAGTCCGATGAAGGGATTGTATAGCCTTCGAGGCACTGCCTCTGGAATATATTATGCAGGTAGTTGTCTTTAAAAAAGTGTCGTGCAGTAGAAAACCGACCTCCGGCTCTGAAGATGTCGTCCTACATGTGGGGTCTTCAACGCACCGCTTGTTCAAGACGTTCCAGCGAGTATTCGGAGGACAGGAAAACATCTGAAGAATCATCGAACGTGTGTAGCAGTGGAGCATAGCTTACACTCCACATCTCAAGATAAGAAGGGCGTGGCTGTCGTTTCGGTACAATTGCGATCATGACTTTGGTCAAGCAAGGCAGGATGACAGTTGTCTCATATGACACGTTTTTAGATTTTCGTGGAACATCACGGTCATTCTACCTCCGGGATGTATAGCGTGCTTGAACTTCTGTGGGCGATAAGAGCTGTTGATCGATCTTTTGTTTTCAAGTGAGGTACGTATCCTACTCCATTCAGGCTCGTAGGGCCCCACTGAATGAAATATTGCCTGTACAATGACTTGACTGGCGAGGGCCAGTCATGTTACTATTTTTTACTCTCCTGCAGGATTTGGTACCAATGTACCATTTCCGAAGTGTACAAGACTAGGTTGGCCTAGACGGGAGCCGATCCGTGATCTGATCTCTGAACAGCGCGCTACTTGCCATGACATCACCTTCACCCCTAGCATAACACGATGTAGCAGTAGCACGAAAAAGGAGGGTAAGATGTTCATCCTCGCGGCATTTTTATTACCAAACAGCTTATCGCTCAACTAATCCTAGCATTTCAAGGCGTCATTTCTTACTGCACAAAAAAAGGCGCTGTTTAGCAACGGGAGGAGGCATTTTGTACTAACATTGCTTCCCTAGTTCGCGGTTTAACGAAATCTCTACCGTGGTAAAACCTGTGAACGACCTGTGAAAGCTGGAGCTAAAGATCGTCTATCACCATACCTGAAAACGTTGCTGAGAAAAGGACTTCGCGCGACAAATGTCTAATCGCCAAAGCTTGTTAACAGCTTAAACCACTTGACCTCAACCAAACCCAAATCGCTTGTCGTTTCCATTGTTTTAATAGAGTCGACACACAGACACTGTTAAACAAAAAAAAGATGCTTCTCAAATTATGAATTCCGGTGATTCGTCAAGAAAATACACTCGCTGTAGTCAATTGACGGTGCCGAGGCCATTTTTTTTTCGAGGGAAGGAGCTCGGATGAGACGAAAAATGAATCTATGGTAATAGCCAAATCCCTGAGACCGGGTAGGCGTAAGCTAGCGCACCTCTCGCAATCTTAACCAATGGTGTCGGCCCAAGTTTTTCGTGAAAATATTCGTCATTTCGAAGGCAGTCCTATCATCTCTACATATAGCACATAAACCAGATATGGCAGTTGTTTCAAATTCAAAGTAGAGCCAGCGAGAAACCTCGCTATGCTCAAACACCAACCACGACTCTCACCACAACACACAACAACAACACCGTTTCAGGATAAGGAGGGACTTCACCCCACTAACTACACTATATAAACGACAAACCACACCATACGGAAAGTGCACTACGAGGGCCATGTCAACTCGCTCACGCACCAATATGTGTCTACAACCAGCTGCCATAGAACGCAGCACAAGCAATAAGAAGCGATGAAGCCCAATGCTTACCTGAAATCAAAACTCACACCAGACTTATCTTTATATTTGTGTTCTGTTGCAACCCATTCGTATATTCGACTTTCACGTGCCTGATGGGTGCGGGGTAAGAGGTAAAAGATTAATATGGTGTGAAAGGGCACATGCCTTGGCGTTTTCTGCTTTCTTCAGCGGCTAGAGTGATAGTCGAATTCGGCGTGTATTTGATCAATTAAAACAATACAATAACTAAAGAAGACCAGCCTGCAGTTAGGAAGGTTCCTATGCTCTCTGGTCCCAAATATGGTAACCATAATCCGGAATAGCTAAAACGGGAAGCTTGTCTGGCCTTGATGGGGTTCAATCCGGGATGAATCCTTGGAATCCGATTGATGTGCATGTGCACTACCTTCTAGTCCACTGCCTCTCAAGTAAACAAACCAGATCGTATACCTTTACCAACTATAAATGTAGGGTGGTTAAGTCTGAAGGCAATGACATTGCTTCCAAATTCATCGTCGAGCGATGCAATAAGAACTTTTTCGGAATTCGAAGGTGCAAAGTCGACGCCGATATCTGTCTGCTGACATGAAGCTGGCAGTTTGAAGAACTATTCTAGCGGAGGCGAACACGTGGAATGTGAAGTTTACTTACTGAGGCGTTTTGGCGATCTTTTGCTGCTTTCCCTGACACTTAGCACATCGTCGCTCATATTCGTGCGAAAAATCCGTCGTCACGCCATCGCATACAGGGGGGGGGCAAAAAAAGTCACTTCGACCGAGTCACATATCAGCAAAGTTTTCGCAGCCCAGAGAGAAGACGTGGATACGAGTACCAGGGCGGAAGATACCCAAGATGTTCCTCGATAAGCAGGAGCTGGCTCTCGCCCATCACCTTCATGTACACCAAAATATGAAGTCATCTCCAGTCGCAGCCTGACTGGAGAAGACCTTTGGAATTCATGTCACCTCCAAACAGCTGCGAAACTTCTAGTATGGAGTCACCCATGGATAGCTACCTGGAGACCAGTACTCTCAATCTGGAAGACCTCCAACATCGAGCAGCTCCGACAACGTCGCTACGGTCTAGGACATCATCTTCACCGCAGTCGCCAAGGCGCTTGATGGTATGGACCGGACGCACCTGGAATGGAAAGACCAATATTTTCTTCGTGGACCCCGGGCTGAAGCTGAGCGCTGGCGGTTACATCGAGCAACTCAAGAAGAATATCCTCCCCACATGTCGTCGCCCGTACCTTCTTGGAAACTTTGTACTGCTACAGCATTGGGTGCCACCACGTGGAATCGAAGGGCGTTGGAGAAACTCTCGCCTACTTGGAATGGAAGGGGGCTGAGTACCTAAAGAAGATGGAATATCCAAGTAGGTCACCTGACCTGAATCCCCTCAATTACCCGGTTCGGGCGGAGTTCAATAGGGTGGTCCACGGTGGCGGAG